GGATGGTGTAGCGGCTGGACGTCTAGAAGTGGTAGGGCGCATATAAGTAGGGCAGCTCGGATGCGGCGGGTTGGACCAGCGGCGACGACAGTAACGAGAAATATGTCCAGGGTGATGACAGGAAAAGCAGATTGACTGGTCGTCAGGGGTTCGCCATGGCGTAGGGTTCAGGAAGGGCAATGATGGAGGAGATTGGCGAGTGTTACCTGAGGGGTATGGACGAACTTCAGAACGAGCAGTGTTTCAGAAGGAAGTGGACAACATGCCATCGAAAGACATCCTTGAATCATCGTCAAGCCCTTGGGCCTCCCCAGTGGTCTTAGTAAAGAATAAAGACGGCTCCAGGCGGTTCTGTATTGATTATCGGCACCTCAACAAAATAACCAAAAAAGAAGTGTATCCTCTTCCACGTATTGTCAACGCACTTGACCGTGTTCATGGTGCCACCATTTTTTCATCTCTCGACCTCCGACCTGGTTACTGGCAAATTGCTGTAGACGAAATGGGTCATGAGAAAACGGCATTCGCTACCCCCAATGGTCTTTACCAATTCAAGGTCATGCCGTTTGATCGCTGCAACGCCCCAGCAACCTACGAGAGAATGATAGACATGCTGCTTCAAGGATTTAAATGGGCGACGTGCTTGTGTTACTTAGATGACGTGATAATCTTCTCACCCACCTTCGCCACACATCTTCAACGCCTTTCGACCATTCTATAAACATTCCGACATGCCAGCCTCCAGCTGAATTCCTCGAAGTTCTGCTTCGGTCTTCGTCAAATTACTGTGTTGGGCCACCTTGTTGACGCTTTCAGTGTGCGACCGGACCCGGCAAAAGTAGGCGCAGTAACAAAATTTCCAGTTCCGCGTTCTATCCATGATGTTCGCAGTTTCGTGGGGCCTATGCTCTTACTTTCGCCGGTTTGTGAAAGACTTTGCGGCACTTGCAGGCCCACTCACATACCTTCTCAAACATGACGTCCTGTTTTGTTGGGGTCCCCTTCAAGCTAACGCGTTTTCTCGACTAATCACCGCTCTAACGACACCACCAATACTTGCACATTTTGACCCAGATGCTCCTACAGAAGTGTGGACAGAGGCTAGTGGTCATGGCATCGGCACAGTTTTGGCCCAAATTCAGTGGGGCACTGATTGTGTAATTGCATATGCAAGTCGTCTTCTTTCAAAGTCTGAGCGTAACTACTCTGTAACAGAACGAGAATGCCTTGCCCTTGTCTAGGAGGTTCGGAATTTCGTCCTTACATATATGGCCGCCCGTTCTTTGTTGTCACAGATCGTCACGCCCTCTGTTGGCTTTCTTCACTGAAGGACCCTTCTTGAAGACTTTGTCGTTGGGCGTTGCGCCTTCAGGAATATTCCCACTGAGTTGCCTACAAGTGTGGACGACTCCATCTGGATGCCGATTGCTTGTTCCACCACCCTGTTGATCAACCAGATGAATCGGTCGGTGAGCCTGGCCCCAGCGACATGTCCATACCTAGGTTTCGTCAGATTGGTGACGAACAGCGTCGAGTTCCTTCCTTGCGGTCACTCATTGCCTGACTGAAATTAGACCTTAACGACCTGTCACTCAACATGTTCGTTCTCCTAAATGGCACGCTGTACCGTCGTAGCATCCAGCAAGATAGCCCTGAGCTACTTCTAGTCATGCCTAACCATCTCCGTTCAGCCGTCCTGCATGAGCTTCACGACGAACCAACTGCGGCCCACTTGGCCGTATCTCGCACGTGCGACCACGTCCGGCGCCGCTTCTTTTGGCGTGGTCTCGCGCGGTTTGTTCGACGCTACGTGGCCCCCTGCGATAAATGCCAACGTCGAAAACGACCTGACGCACCCCTTGCTGGACTACTTCACAGGATTTTTATCCCTACCTAACCTTTCTTCCGTGTTGGTGTAGACCTCCTCGGACCGTTCCCTGAATCAAACTCTGGAAACAAGAGGGTCGCCGTTGCTATAGACCATGCGACCAGGTTTTCCATCACTAGAGTGCTCCCCACTATCACTGCTACTGACATTGCCGACTTTTTGCTCCACGATGTGATTCTACAGCATGGCGCTCCTCGGCAATTGCTCACCGAGCGTGGATGCGCGTTTTTGTCTCGCGTACTCGATTACCTTTTGCGCTTTTTCTCAACGCAACACAAACTCACCACTTCCTACAATCCTCAAACAAATGGCCTTACCGAACGCCGAAATCGCACCCTCAGGGACTTGCTCTCGATTTATGTTTTATCTGACCACCATGACTGGGGTCTAGTGCTACCTCACGTCGTTCGCCTGTAATTCATCTCGTTATAATAGAGCAGGTTATTCACCTTTTTTATATACTCTATGGCCGTAATCCGACCTTAGCACTGGACACACTACTACCGACTACTACACCTCCGCCGAGCGAATACACACGTGATGTTATCGCTCGTGCCGACCACGCACGTCAGATTGCGCGCTCTAGGCTGTTGGCTTCACAGGCAACCCAGAAGGCTCTCTACGACAGCAAGCATGTCGACGTTGACTTCTCACCTGGTTCTCTAGTTATTCTCTGGTGCCCAATTCGTCGTGTTGGATTGTCAGAAAAGTTGCTGTCTCTGTACAAGGGACCTTACCGTATCATACGACCTATGAGGTCCTTCCAGTCTCCGGTACTAACCTGTATACAAACACCCCCAGTGACGTAGTCCACGTCAGTGGGTAGGAACCATACCACCCTCCTTCTGAAGAACACGTATAAAGTGCACCGAGCTGGTGTTTTTATAACCGGGGGGTAATGCTACGTAGCAAACGCATGAAGTGTTAACCATTCTGTGGAAGAAGACGACGAAGAGGACTGGTGTTCTCGCTCTGTGTGCTGCGCTTCAATTTTATTGGTGTAAGTACACTGGCAAATAGTCACGTCTCATCTCAGTTTACGTAACAATGTCCTACCTTCACGAACACTAAAGAGTAATAACTCTACAATTGTTCTCTTCAAATTTGACGTCATTATGGTCATCTGTTTGTTGATGTGATCGGTGCTTTTGTTATGCTTTCGCCATGATACTTTCCTGAATTTTATTGCGGACAGTAATTCATAAGGCCAGTTTTCTAATCTTGAAGCTGTGACACGTTCTTCGCACAGACAGTTTCAATTTTCTCTGTTATATAATCACCAAACGTCATTACTTGGATTGTTGCTATTCTGAAATATATTTATTTTTGCCACATATCAGGTCTTCAACATTCTTAAAGCGACACTAGAGAAAAAAAACGAGTTTTCACGTATTTGTAAGGTACAGTTTCACCATGCCAAAAAGACCTCTCTTACCGCGAGTTGGCACTCGGTATGGAAGAAAACACACAAAAACAAAAATGTGGTTGGAGACGCCACCTTGACATTCTCGCAGGAAATGCCATGTGTTGATATATTTAGAAGGCGTCTATTAGATCCTATGCAGCTACTAATCAATCAATAAAGATGAAGTACATTATTATTTGTGTGTGTCACAAACCTAGCATAAGGAGTTTCAAAAATTTCATGGAGCCTTTGTTATGAAACACAAAAAGTATATCATGAAATTTTTCATGTCACGCGCGGATACTGCGCCTCAAAATTTCAAGTATCAATACCAACCAAGTAATTGCTTCTCCTTAGTTCTCTTTTGAAGTGCCTGCCGCTACAGCAAAAAAATCACCACACGCACACACACACACACACACACACACACACACACACACACACACACACACACACACACACACACACACACACACACACACACACACACATATTTGTGAAGGCGACAATCAACAATTGAATTTCTCAGCTTTTTGAGGTTATTGAACATATTTAATAAAACACTCAGTGTAGTGGTTCTTAAAACAAACAAAACTGTCCATATCTGAACGAGAGCTTCACTTCTTATGCAATGCTTGCAGTGTGAGAGTTTTTCTTTGAATTTTGGAGTTGAAATGTCCAACTGTTTTCTGATGTTTCAAAGCTGATACTAACACCACCAACAATGAGAATTGTAACAGGCGTAGACAAAGTACCGCCCTTTTCTATAGGTCTGCATGGATATCCTCATGCTCAGAGTACCTACAGATTGACCACAGCAGGTTTATGTGCTTTTAGGTCATTGCCCGTTACACGAGAAAAAAGTATGTCAACATTGGCAATTAGAAAATTGAGAGCCAGGAAATTGCCAATTTGAAAAAAAAGTTGTAGCCTCCTGGCTGCCTGCTCGTTGAGTGATTTACTTTTAAAAATTTACTGTTGCCGATCGGCAACGTCAGCTGCGCTGTCGCTGGGAGGTGGAACTCACAAGCGACGAGGTAGCCGACTAGCTTTGGGCCGTCCGGCAAGCTGGAGACGTCGCCTGGGTGCAAGGGCTTTGAGAGGTCACATGAGGCACCGCCATCATAATCAAGGGAGAGTGGGAAGGGAAAGAGGTAATCCCCTCTCCCCTCACCTCGTCCGGTAAAACTGCCAGACTTCAGATAAAATTTATTTAATCAGTCACCAATTCATTCAAAAATAATCGAAGCCTTCCATGGGGTAGATTCCAACAAGCATTCGCACTGCCTTAAAATTAGTTCTCTTCTTTTCAAAGCCCAGAGTTGCGGGCTATGGAAAGCGAATTCTCTCTGATATCTAAAATGAATAACAAACGTTTTGTTTTCTGAAAGTTCATTACACGTTTCATCCACGGAGGCCTACTGTTTCAGTTGTGCGCTGCATAACTATCTCGACAACGTCGTCACGAGGGCTGCTCAACGTGTATTTTCAGTGTCATACCCAGATTGTGCGGCTGTCATTGTGCAGCTGGGTTGGTACATCCCGTCATTCTCCGAATGTTGCCTGTCATTCGTGATTACTACGAATACTCAATCAAAATGCGATGTATCGCCCATAGACAAAACAAAAACATTTGATGACGCCCGATGGCATTCCCGTCATAGGAACAATGGCATAAACAAAATATCTTTCACAGATGCAGATACATCGTCGTATACGAAAGCTCGTCGTGGACGCTCTGAGAGTACAGCTGCACTGGTTCAACATAGGCAGATGGGCCGGTTGGCTTCCATACTGTTTGCTAGGAGTGGGTGCATACGTGAGCACTGACAGGCCTCGGTGTAGGCATGACATCGGTAAAATGTTATCTGGATACCACGTACACATCACCAAGCACGCCACCATTCTTGTATAGTGTAAGTTTTCTTGGATGCACTTTTTTAATGTCTTGCTCCTGTTAAATGCGATGATTAAGAACCAGGAGAAATTTAGGCCATCTACTCACAAATATGGGAATGAATACTACCATAGAATCACACTAAAAAGTTTTTCACGAGATCATAAAAATAAGAACGTGAAAGCCGAGAAACGTATGGTCGAGTACTGCAGAAAAGCACAAAACTTTTTTTAAACTTGTCGTTTTAAGAAACCTTGCAGCGTCGCCTGGCACATTTTCTAACGCCTGATCCGCACCGGCTCATATCAGTTAAAAGGAGGTTCATCAAGCTTGCCACGCTTCGCCCTCTCTCCAGGCTGGCTTGAGCGTCATGTCGAATACCGAGGTGTAATTTTTTTTTCAGTTTTTCATTTCGTTCCGACAATATATCACGGAAAGTAAAAAAAGTTATTCACGAAAAGCGTTTCCTAAAGGAACCATAGCGTTGAGCCCCCTGCGACACTCAGTAGACACAAATTGGATGACTCCAGGGCTTTCCGAAAAGAACCATAACGTTGAGTCCCCTGCGACTCTCAGTAGACGCAAATTGGAAAACTCCAGGGAAGAAAAAGTAACAGTGAAGTACTCTATATTATTGTTCAATGCGTCGTAAGCAATTTTCTGCACCTCATACCATTATATATATCTTAGGTTTACCTAAAAAATACAACTCCTGGAGTGGTGTTTCGCGAACGGAAGTTACCACTGCATCACACATGTTGCCGTTACCTTTTTTGACGGCTGATGCAATCGTCAAACTCACGAGTGGACCAAGACAACCCACTTTAAATGTAAACATGGCCACGTGCGCCCTCTCGAAGGGCTGGTACGCAACGTACCATGCGAAAATGGTCTGAAAGTTACGGTGCAGTTGAGGGGTAGCGAATGATTTGGAATTTAAGGGAGCTAAGCCGAGGTCGGCCAAGAACAATGAAACGACAGCCAAGAAAACGCAGCACCTTCGAACCTAACAGCGTCGTTCTCCTGTATACGGCAATATTGGATAATTGAGCACAGTGGGTTTGTTTGTGTGGGAGGTTTTTGTTATTTTTCGGGTGGCCACGTGCGCACATTTATTATCGCGTACACCGCCTTCAATTCTTTACTTTCTGTATTATAAGCAATTTGTTTCAAATAACGGATTGGTCCATTCTAGTTTTTTTTATTTATTTTAAATCGTTATCACATGGATCCATGGAATGAGTGTCTCCCCTATTTTGTCAACTAATACACCTTTGGATTGTTTAAACTAATAAATATTAGTCACGTAAGAACCATGTAAATTAATTTCTCTCTCCATTGTGCCTTTCGCCACGCAAAACGGTTAATTATAAAAAAATAAGTTTTGTGTAAATACTTATTGATTGCAACTGAAAATTGTTGAGTGCGTAACTCTACAACCTAAATACGTGTCACATTGTGGTGGAAATTTGGTAGTGTGAAAAGAATAAATAAAGGCTGGGAGCTTCTTTACGTGCAAAAAATATGCCTGGTCCAGAATCCCCCCTGCAACTAGTGCCATGAATGTTGTCACTTTGCCCCAACCAACGCCTCCTCTATTTTATCGATGCCAGTCAGATGCGCCCGATTGAGCTGTTTACCACCCTCTCCTCTCGCCCTTTTGCGCTCTCTCTCATCGCCTAGCCTTCGGGTGTGCTTTTCGGTCTTTGGAGAGAGTAACCCCCCATGCAGGGCCTCATGACGAAAATCATATGAAGTAATTTTTTGTTCAGTTGTGTGCAGATCCGTGGGGAGGCGTCTGGCATTCCTCGTGTTCACGATACTCGCAGTTACGCTGTCTTTGTGAGATATACGGTGTTTTGAGATAGCGCCTCGCCGTTGGTGGCGCTATGCGGGCAACCAATGTGGAAGCGTCAATGACGCATTTTCGCATGCGCTGCCCTGTGACGCGGCGGCACTGTCTCGAGCGGGAAAGAAGCAGCATTAAGGAGCGAATCTGACAGACATGTGATATTGGTGTGGGAAACACGTATATGACTTCTTCGGAGGAAACCACTCGGACGCACGTGTGACGCGAGCAGTGCGACTTCTCATATAGCGCCGCATCACGACCACTCCCTGAATTAGGGCGCACCAACTGCTGCCGTTGCGGAGCGCGCGTTTGCACTGGCATTGAAATAAAGGAGGCGTTGCCCCAACGCAAGAAAAAAAATGTGATTTGGAAGGTCGCACCTGGCACATTGATTCACTGAAAGGCGGGCTAGACAACAAAACGTGTTTAATTGTACACACCTACTGACAAAATCATGGCCCAACGAATCGTCTTCAAGGAATATTAGTTCTAAAGAATCGAGGCTCAGAAACAAATGTAATGGGCGAGGTGACACAGGAACCTCTTATCAGTGACGTGAAAAGCATATGCTAGTGGGAAGTAAATTTAGCAGCTCGCGAAATCATGCTGCAATATTTTTACAAACATATTCGCTTACATTGTTTGTCAAATGCGAAAGGTGGTCAGTATGCAATGCACGCAACGGAAAACAAGCGAGCCACTAGCGCGTCCACTGATTGCGGAATTTAGCTACCGGTTAGGCTCACTTGCGGCTGCATACAAATATTTTGTTGCGTGTGTGAGCGAGATTAGGCAACATGAGCAAAAGTGTGTGCTCGTCGAGCCTCATTGTATGCTCTTGACAATCGACTCGAGTGGTGAGTCAAGGTTGCAGCTTAAGAATGGCGTCTGGAGACGCCAGAAGTGCGCTATTGCGCACACTAGAGTCGAGAAAACTCTGAAACTGTATTTTGCTCCTAGAAAAGAGACCAGAAACAACTTGTGATATATCACAATAGTTGTAACATGATATTTGCGCACATTTCAGGTCAATGGGCACCACAAAGACACTGATTGAAAGACTGTTCGGAGAGCCGGGTGAGTTCATGCCTCTAAAAAATTTAGTTGCCTTAGCAAAAGAAAATTAGTTCAGGTGACGTGGAGTAAACCTTATACAGCGAAAGACGCTGAAGAACCCATGCTTGCGATAGAGCACTTTGGCCCATTTTATTCTGTGAAGTAATCAAGTATGCACAGATAATGTGAAAAACCTATTTTTGCTAATTAATCAGTCTTTGAATCAACATTTTTATCATGCTGTCAAATATAAATGATGCCGATTCAGTGCTCCTTTCTCAACCATAAATCATAAAAATGAGAGCGCAGCTTCGACTGACTTTCCCGCAGGGACGCCTGCGCATGTAGGCGTTTGGTGTGTAGCGACACCACGGACCCGAGCTAACGGGAGAGTTTCGGCTCCCTCCCACGCCTAGCCGTGCGTGGCTTTGCCGTGTCCGGGGAAAAGGGAATCTTGGGGTTTGAGCCGACGCTGGGTGATTGGACCTTTAAGGCCCCCCGGCAAAGGCAACACAACCCTTTGGCCTCGGCATCACGTAGACGGCACCCCTGGGCTGACCCACCCAGGGGAAATCGGCACTCGCCTTTTCCTATCTATTTCTGCCTAGATCTTCGTCTTTATCTCTCACTATCTATCTGTCCTGTCTTCTACTCTCTTCTGTTTACTTCCATTTTTCCTGGCGGCAAGGGTTAACCCAGTGCAAATAGCCTACCTTGGTCTAGGCGCATTGGGTTATGGCAGTGTTGTACGGCTGACGTCTGCAAGCTTTCAGCACCTGCAGACTTGCAGCGTCCCCTTGTTGGGCTCCGCGTTGGGTGGCCGCCAACGCTGCTGAACAAAAATAAGACCGGCATGCATGGAGCATTCCCTCTTCTTTCTGATCGTACCGGCCTAAAGCGGGTACGCACCGACGACATAAATTTCTTCAACCAGCCAACAGAAAGTTTTCTCCATTTCCACGTCATTCACTGTGAAAAAACTGAAAAGCAAGCCAGGAGCGTCTCTCCTTTCCTAGTTTCTAGATGTCTTACCGAAACTCTTGGCACAGGATACAAGGTAACTAAAATGGCTTGTGGAGACCTTCTCCTCGAAATCCGTGACAAAGAACAATTTAAAAAGCTAGACCGTCTTTCAGATTTCGGTGGCATACCAATAACCATAACACCACATAGATCAATGAACACAACTCGCGAAATGGTATCTGACATGAACTTACTTGACTTGACTAAGACTGAGCTTTTGGAGGGGTGGAAGAGCCAAAATGTCACTAATGTACAGAGAATCATCATCAGAAGAGATAATAAGGAAACACCGACAAAACAATACTCACATTTGCATCCAGTAAACTACCGGAATCTATTCAAACAGGGTACACAAAGACATCTATCAGGCCGTACATACCAAACCCTCGTCGTTGCTTCCAATGCCAGAGGTATGGCCATGGCACTAAAACCTGCCGTGGTCACCAGACTTGTGCACAATGTGGAGTCCTAGGCCACGTGTCTGAGAACTGCAAACAACCTCCACACTGTGTAAACTGCGAAGGAAACCATGCCGCATATTCACGCTCCTGCACATACTGGAAAAAAGAAAAAGAAATAATTACATTGAAGGTGAAGGAGAACATTACGTTTAAGGAAGCACGGCGAAGAGTCGCTCCATTCTATGGACCTACATAAGCTGATGCGGCGCGTCAGGAGGCACCGCCGCAACAGCCCCCGCCACCCCTTCAGCCCGCGCATACCAAGCCGGCGGTTGTGGCACCTACCCCCAAGGCGGCTGTAGCCCAGGCTACACCGCCTACTCCCAAACAGAGACCGGAGACTCCAGAGTCTTCGGGTCTCGAGGCCTCCCCTCACCAGGCAAGGCCCAAAATCCGAACTAACAGCCCGCAGGTGCAGGCATCCAGTGCCTCCGAGGAGGCAATGGATACGTCGGCACCCTTGGTGCCGAAAGAGTGGCGTGGCTCCTTGGAGCGCGCCAAGAAAACAAAAATGCAAATAACAAGGCCTGGTGACGGCCCCGTTAAGTGAACTCAAACTCCCCGTCTAAACAGCCACTCGTTTTTCGTACACACAGCATTATTTTACATTCACCATGAACACTCAAATTATACAATGGAACGTCAGGGGCCTTCTCAGATACCTTGATGACATCCAAGAACTCTTACACGACCACTCACCAAAAGTGCTGTGTGTACAAGAAACACACCCTAATTCAAAACACACAAATTTTCTTCGTAAATACGTTATTTTTCGAAAGGCCGTGATGATGCCATGACATCATCCGGAGGTGTTGCCATCATAGTGAATCAAGGAATTGCATGCACACACTTACAACTCCAAACATCCCTTGAGGCAGTGGCTGTTCGAGCGGTTCTTTTTGATAAACTGATCACAATCTGCTCTATTTACATTCCTTCTAGCTATCAGCTGCAAAAACGTGATTTACGCTCTTTAATTGATGAACTTCCGTAACCTTTTGTTATCCTTGGAGACTTTAATTCGCATAGCAGGCTATGGGGTGACTCTCGGTATGACGCGTGAGGTCGACTGATCGAACAGTGCCTTCTCTCGTCGAGCGCGTGTCTCCTAAATCGAAAAGAACCAACCTATTATAATCTCGCCAATAACACCTACTCCTCCATACACCTAAGCATAGTATCTCCATCCCTTCTGTCTCTACTCCAGTGGAAAGTCGTCAGCAACCTGTACGGAAATGACCACTTCCCCGTAGTTTTGAGCACAAATACAGTAACTGAGTGTCCACCACGTGTTCCCAAGTGGCTCATAAACAGAGCCGACTGAGAACAGTTTTGTACCATCGCTCGTCTAGGTTGGAATGACATATGTACTTTGAACATTGATGTTGCTGTCAACTTCTTCACAGCGTTTTTGATTGATGCTGCAACAAAATGCATCCCACAAACAAATGGACACCCTGGAAAACGGCGTGTGCCATGGTGGAACTCTGAATGCCGAAACGCGTGCAAACAGCAAAACAGAGCTTGGAGGCTGCTTCGGAACTCACCGACAGCCTAAAATCTTGACACCTTCAAGAAAATAAAGTCTCAAGCTAGGAGAACGCGTCGGCAGGCCAGAAGAGAAAGCCGGCGGAAGTTTTTGTCAGGGATCAATTCATACACACAAGAGGCCAAAGTCTGGAACATGGTCGGTAGGATAGCAGGAAAACAAGTACGCACACTTCCACTCGTAAACACTCAAGGTGATACCTTGGAAGATCAGGCAAACTTCCTCGGGGCACATTTTGAACGGGTATCCAGTTTGTCCCACTATACTGACACTTTCCAAAAATACAGAACAAGAATAGAAAAGCAGAAACTCGAACACAAATCCACTAGATACGAGGCATATAACCAAGCTTTAAGTCTAGCGGAGCTCCGAACATCCCTAAACTCTTGCAGTACTTCTGCCCCAGGTTCTGACCGTGTGGTGTACGAAACGTTAAAAAACCTACCAGCCGAAACACGAAAAACCCTACTTTGTTTGTACAATGCTATCTGGTTTTCTGGCACTCTCCCTACCTCCTGGAAAGAGGCTATTATTATTCCCATTTTGAAAGAGGGCAAGGACCCTTCTTTAGCTTCAAGTTATAGGCCCATTGAACTTACAAGCTGATTGTGCAAAGTATTCGAAAAAATGATAAACTGCCGACTTGTACATATCCTTGAAAAAAACAATTTGTTCGACCCATTTCAGTGCGGGTTTCGAGAAAGTAGATCCACCACAGACCACCTTGTTCGTATCGAGGCACAGATCAGAGACGCCTTCGTCCATAAACAATATTTTCTCTCTGTGTTCCTCGATATCAAAAAGGCGTATGATACAACATGGCGTTTCGGAATTCTAAGAGACCTGTCCCACCTTGGTGTGCGCGGAAGAATGTTTCATGTAATCGAAAGTTACCTGTCAAACCGGACATTCAAAGTCCGTCTGGGCAGTGTGCTCTCCCAAACATTTGTCCAAGAAACAGGCGTGCCACAAGGTGGCGTGCTTAGTTGCACACTTTTTATTATTAAAATGAATTCTTTGCACTTGTCCATTCCCCGCAATATGTTCTATTGTACATATGTCGACGACGTTCAGCTTGGCTTCAAGTCATGCAACTTGGCCATGCGTGAGTGGCAGGTTCAGCTGGGTTTAAATAAGGTCTCCAAATGGGCAGATGAAAACGGATTTGGACTTAACCCACAAAAAGCACGTGTGTCTTGTTCTCTCGAAAAAGAGGCATGCACTCGGAACCTGACATTCGACTGAACGGGCAACGTCTGTCCGTCAAAGCCGAGCATAAATTCTTAGGCTTAATCTTGAACAACAAGTTGACCTTCGTACCATACATCAAGTATTTAAAAACAAAATGTTTAAAAGCCATGAATGTTATAAAAGTGTTGTCCCGTACTACGTGGGTTAGTGATAGGCAATGCCTCATGAACCTCTATAGAAGCCGCATTCGCACCCGCTTAGATTATGGGGCTGTTGTCTATAAGTCCGCTACTCAAGTGCCTTGAAGATGCTGGACCCCGTGCACCATTTGGGCATCCGCCTTTCTACGGGTGCTTTTCGCACCAGTCCCGTAAAAAGCCTTTATGTTAAGTCAAATGAGTGGTCGCTTCATTTGCAGAGAACTTACATGTCCTTTGTTTATTTCCTTAAGGTGACAGCAGACAAGAAGCACCCCTCATACTCTACAATTAATGATTTGTCGAGCTCAACTCTGTTTCAAAACAGGCCTTCGATGAGGCAGCCCTTCTCAGTTCGCCTGAAGTGTCTAGCTGAAGAAACTGCGGTGTCACTTGAACACAGTTTAATGGCTCCTGTAGCATACCCGCCACCGTGGCAGTGGCAGACTATAGACTGCGATGTTTCTTTCCCTAGAAGTTACAAAACATGCACCTATTGCCCATATCCGAACATACTTTTTGGAACTTCAACACAAATACACACGTCCTGAGTTATTCACAGATGCCTCCAAGACTAACTCCTGTGTGTCCTACGCTGCTGTCGGCCCATCCTTTTTGGATGCTGGCCCTCTACATTCACGCACAAGTATCTTCACAGCGGAAGCTTACGCGATATTTGTGGCAGCTAAACACATCAAATAATTACAAATACAAAAAGTAGTAATTTATACAGACTCCCTCAGTGTGGTAACGGCTCTGCACAGTCTTAAAAAACAAAAAAACCCGGTCCTTGTCTCACTTTACTCCATTTTGTGCACACTCTACACACTCAAACAACATGTTGTAGTGTGCTGGGTGCCAGGGCACCGTGAGATCCAAGGCAATGTGAGGGCGGATCAGCTCGCTGCATCCGTCCATGAGAGCACCGCCATTACATCCATATCAATCCCGGCCCTTGATCTTAAGCCGTCTCTCAAACGAAACCTCAGGGACTACTGGCAGAGCAAGTGGGATACACACACACAAAACAAACTACACGTTATCAAGCCACACCTTGGCCATTGGCCACCAGTATCAAAATCACGTCTAACAGAGGTAACACTAACAAGACTCAGGATAGGACACACATACATGACACACACAAATCTTTTGTCCGGTGGTGATCCACCATTGTGTGATAAATGTGGTGAGACATTAACAGTTCTTCACGTTTTAATTCAATGTAAACAGTTAGACACTCTAAGAAGACAACACTTTCCATTATTCTACCGACAATATATACCTCTACACCCTGCAATGTTCGTTGGCAGGGAACCGCTTTTTAGTAATAAATCATTGTTAGCGTTTTTAAAAGAAATTCATAATTTTCGTATCATATACCCGGGCATTCCGTAGCACAACCTCTCCAGAGAGCTTTTTGCTGCGGTGGCTACACAGGAAAGCACTTGCCTCACGGCCCTTGGACGCAAGGGTACTAACGTGTGAGGTACTTGTGCTAATGCCTTACATGTCCACCATAGTTTTTCATTATCACCAACTTTTGTCACCTATTCATACCACACACTCCTTTCACGGCATGGTCATGATTTTATTACCTGTATGTTTTTACCCGCCTTACTGCGAGGAATTTTATGGCCCTTATACAGCCGCTAATCACAATCATTGTCCACATTCCTTGTCCCATGAACTGGCGCTCTTTGGCCATCAAATGGCCCTTGCGCCAAAAAACACCATATATCATCATCATCAGCTTCGACTGACTTGAACAAACAACGGATAAATTGTTTCACAAGGTCACTTTTGTCAGCTCTCTCAATCAGTAAATCAGTTAAACTTTATTTTCATGAAAATACTATTGCGAATAGGAGGTTTATTTCAACCAATTGCCTAAACTGGATTGTGACCAATCCAATGCAGTATGCAACAAATAATGTACGAGTCAGCTTTGAGGGAAGGAACACGAACGATCACTATTACAGGCAATACACATTTTTTCTCGTACACATGCATACTTTGAGGCTGTAGCTAGCTTGATATACGTAGACAGTGAATCAGAAAAAAAAAACAAATTGAAAGTCAAGTAGAACAAACATACACACAGGCTTACACGAATAGAAAGCATGATTTGCATGCTGGCTCAGAATTACTTGCAGCTGTACTCCGCCAAGGATCTGCTCGAGATGCTACGTTTTCGCTAGTAGCACTTTGTAACGCCGGACTTGGCTAGTCATCGCGAACTGTGGTCCGTTGCCGTGTGAAGTACGGGTCCCGTTGTCTTGGCGGGAACTTCTCACGTGATTCACTTTTACGTAGTTTGGGTGGAAACATGCTATTTGACTTGTTACATGAAGGTACGAAATTTTAGTCATGTGACTAGTTGTCACATGATGGTACATAAATTTTGATTACGTGGGTACTTGGAACGTGACGCAGCATGACTTTAGTCATGAAGCAGCCTGGATGATTGCAGTTTTTTTTCTTGCTCTCCTCGCAAGACGAACCGGAAGCCGGAAAATCAGTTGTGCAAGTAAAGCAAAGGTCAACACTTCTAAGGGAGCACACAATGCTTCATGATTATAATTCCTGATTGCACTAGACAGTGCTACGTGAAACTTTAAGAGATCTGCTTTTCAAATATTCAACTTTTAGAGCTCGCATTGATAAATAAATTAAGAAAATAATCAACAAAGCAACAGCGTTATGCCCGCATCGTAGGTTTTAGTTTTTTAGGGAGGGGGGGGGAGATATAAATTTACGCATTTTAAACACGCCTTTATAAGGTATGAAAATTCCAGACCAAAAAAAAACTATCAAGCGGATAAAATTATTCAATATTATTTGGTGTCATCTTCTACCATACATTTCCTAATTTTCGTAAAATTGCATAGGCGAACTAAGGTGTAATAGGCATGTCAGTGTAGTCATTCGATATCTGTGATGCATTAGTCTGTTTATTGCTTCCTGATACCGCGCACAAACTACGAGTTCCATATGCTAAGAATAAGTTTGCCCTTTGCGTTAAACCTTTTATCGCAAAATGCTTTTTTTATATTTCATTTTGCAGGTCTGCGCTACATGCTCTTTTCATTAGATAAATAAAATATCAGTTTTGAGAGCTTTATATTTTATGTAGCAGTTTTCATTTTTTTCCTATATTTTATGTACGTGTAGTGTTCATTCAGTGTCTACGTGTATGAATAGTGTATGCTTTTTGTGTTTTTTCTTGCGTACGCCAGTTTCTTTATGCTGTCACTATATACTTGCTCAAGTGTAACCGGCTGGGAAGCCTAGTCAAGCCCAGTGGAGCTTGTCCTCCCTATTTCCTCTACTTGCTGAAATGGAAAATAAGAGGATTGAAAATGATTGGGAAAAATGAAGAGAACTATATTTCTGGCGGTGCCATAGTGTGGCAGCACACCTGTCCTAATGATTTGACGTTATCTATGTTTACTACACGTTGTGTTCCAAACTTTCATATTTTAATTGACATTTCTGTTCAGTTACCGCTCTCATTCGAGTCTGTAAAATTCACCGCTTTCATTATAACTGCTGAGGCAATATTTGTCTGTTTGCGCAGATTCACGACTGCGTCAATGGCGATGGACAATGAGGCAGTAGGCGAGAGGAAGGTCGAGCATTGTGTTCCCTTGTCTCTGGCGTGTCGGATGTTCCTGTATGCCCTCCAGGGTTACTTCATCGAGGTCACGTTCACAGCCATCTGTAACCTAGTAGAAACTGGAAGCCTCGAGCTTCGTGGATGCAGCAGCATCTGGAGCCTGATGATTTACAGCATCGCCACCATCAGCATGGAGAGAATCAACGCTTTTCTCAAACCACTAGGCTGGCCGCTTGCGGCCATAGCGTTTGTTCACATGTGCTGCATGTACGTGTGTGAGTTCACAAGTGGCTGCCTTCTCAGGACGATCGGTGCATGCTCCTGGGACTATGGGGACTTTATGTTCAACGTCGCTGGTTTAGTGACGCTAGAGTATGCACCATTATGGTACCTCCTTGGAGTTATTTTTGAAAAAGTCTATGCTCCAAACATGGGCAGGTTGGCGTGGGTTTACCGCGCAAATCCTGCTCTAAAGCTTCAGCTGCCACCTGAAGAAAAGAGTGTCTCTTCGAAAGAAGACTATCGGTATAAGGAAGACACCTCCATTTGCCTTACCTAGTTCATTGATTTTTCAGCAACCTGCAGCAGCGAAGGATGGGAATCATTGGTCAGACAGAATTTCTAACATAAAAAATAGGGTTTGACTGAGATAAAACCATAAAAGTCATGACATGCGATATCAGATTATTGCTAAGCGTAACGTGAAATAAGGAAGTAGACGTGCCCATTACATGCAGCTTCGACCACTGTGAACGTAAGGGCTTCGATATCGCGAGTGCATAATGGGCACGCTCGTTTCTTGCTAGCACGTGTTCAAATCTTCCAATCATCGATAACTTGAAATTCTGTATTCATAGACAACTAAATATTGCATTCCGCTTACAACATGCCCGTCGCCATGTGATTACTTATTAATATTTGTGATGTGTGAATAGTTTGTGACCTGAAATTGTTTGCTTAAGAGCCAGGTAACTTATAAATTAGTAAATGCAGAGCATTTTTCGCGCACTGCCAGCATTTCAATAATCTATCTATCTATCTATCTATCTATCTATCTATCTATCTATCTATCTATCTATCTATCTATCCATCTCTCCATCTATCTATCTATCTATCTATCTATCTATCTATCTATCTATCTAAGTAGCCGCCTACGTCTCGGGACTCTCATGATTACCCCTTTCATCACCATCACCAGCCTGTATGCGCTGCATGAGACAAACGAGTCTCGCATGTTCCGCTAGTCAACTATGTCCTGCGATTTTTTCTGAAAACTTCCTAATCTCATTTATCTGCCTAACTTTACGTCTTCCCCTCAACTGCTTGCTTTCTCTGGAAATCCAAGTATTTACCCTTAATGACCAGCGATTATCCTACTTACGTGCAACGTGCCCGGCCCATGTTCATTTCTTTTTCTCGATTTCAACTATAGCATCCTTAACCACCGCTTGTTCTTTGACCCCCTCAGCTATATTCTTGTCTCTTATGGTTACATGTATAATTTTACTTTCCAACGCGCACTGCGTCGCCCTCATCATAAGCTGAATCCCCTTTGTAAGACTCCACGTTTCTCCTGAGTAGATAACTATCAGCAAGGTGGAACTTTTACACGCCTTCCTCTTCAGGCATAGTGGCTATCTACCAGTGATGATTTGAGGATACTTGCCGAATTTGCTCCACGTCATTCTTATTCTTCCAGTTTCTTCAATCTCGTTGTTCGGCTCTGCGCTTACTACTTGTCCTAAGTAGACGTACTCCTTTACAACTTCAAGAGTACTGCTACGTATCTCCAAGCGCTGTTTTCTTCTGAGGTCACTGTACAATTTTACTTTCGTTTTTGGAATATTACTTTAAGACCTACCTTTCTACTCCCTTTGTCTAATTCAGTAACCATGAATCGCAATTCGTCTACTGAGTTACTTAGCAATGCAAAATCATCGGCGAAGCACAGGTAACTAAGGTATTCTACATTAACTCTTATCACATCACTTCATCACTTTTACCATTCTACTGTTCCCCTTCTAGGCCACTGGAAACCTCCTGGATACAGAAGACATTGTCAATATTCTGTGCTTTTTCTATTGAGCACTTTGGTGGCAGCTGATCCTCTCTAGATTTCTTCCTGGATGTTCATATATTCAACGTTGGCACCTTAATTCCGCACTGTTTGCATGACTGCTGATATCTTCACCGAAATAAATGCCTTCCCGTAATGTATGAAGGCCATGTATAGAGTTGTGTGTATTCTTAGCATTTCTGTATCACCTGACTGATCTACGTATAAATGTGGTCGATGGTTGAGTGGCCTGTCCAAAATCTTACTTCTTCAATTGATTTATTTATTTTAATGTTTTCCTAATCTTCTTAACAATTACCTTTATAAATATCTTGTTTGCGATGAAGAGCAAGCTGGCGGCCTGAAATTCTTCCAGTCCTGGTCTTCACCTTTCTTCTGAATTAAAATGATGTTATCAATCTTTCAATATTCTGGTTCCCTCTCTATCGGGAGACACTTCGTAAACAAGGTGGATAGTTTTTACAACACGATCTCTCCTCTGTCTTGCAGTTGATCTGATGTTACTGATCTACAACAGCAATTTCACCTTTTTTTTTTCATTTTCTCTAAGGCTTTTCTGATTTCTTCTGCCAATACTGGCTGAATATCATCTGAGTTACTGATAATTCTTACATTATTGTCGTGGTTGTTCCGTCTTCCGCACAGATCTGTGTAAAACTGCTCCACTGCTTTGCTATTCCATTCATAGTGGTAGTTACTTCGCCTTCTTTGTCCCTTAGTGAATACATACGGCTCTTGCCTACCTCAAGCTTCCCCCGTTCTTTACAGCATTTTCCATTCTCTCCATGTTATACCGTCTTACATCAGATACCTTACGCTTATTTATCAACTACAAAATGTATACTGGTTCTATTTTGTCTGTTTTGCTTTCATGCTTTGACGCTTCTTATGAGCTTCTTGGTCTCCTGGAACAGCTTGCTAGTGTCCTTTCACACTACCGTACCTGCAACTTCCCTACTGACCGAATTTCCGAAGTCCTCCACTACGCCGTCTCTCATAATCATATGGTAGTTTCGGCACGTTAAAACCCACATATCAATCAATCAATCCAACTTCCTTGCACACACTGTAATAATACTCGTCAGATTATCAGTCAATGTGTCAACGCTAACTCCGGTTTTCTCAATAGCGGTCCTATATCTTTTCTTAAGTGAGACTCTAAATTCCTGTGTTTTTCTTTCATCCTGATCACCCCTTAAACTTGAGGTAAACCAAAAATATTATAGGAAGTTAAGATGGTGGACATGACTCGCTGGTTATGACAGGAGTGATTTCACCATCCCGTCGTGTATGTCATCAAACCCTTAATGTCAAACACATGTGGCACATACCCATACACCATGGGTAGACGCGTCGCCCCGCCGCGGTGGTCTAGTGGCTAAGGTACTCGGCTGCTTTCCCGCAGGTCGCGGAATTGAATCTCGACGGCAGCGGCTGCATTTTCGATGGAGGAGGAAATGCTGTCAGGCCCGTGTGCTCAGATTTGGGCGTACGTTAAAAACCCTAGGTTGTCAAAATGGCCGGAGCCCTTCACTACGGTGTCTCTCATAACCGCATGGTGGTTTCGGGATGTTAAACACCATATATATACCAATAAATGGGCAGATACGTCACACAGGCATGCGGATATGTGCCACAGGTTAATGGCAGCTCACACCTACTCAGGAATAGCAAGAACAGACATTGACAGTTTTCAGGAAAGCTTAAAGAAAGGTGACATCACCAGCGTTGACCAGACTGGTGCAAAAAATTAAGTGTCAGGGGGCCAGCAGGAATCATACTTAAAAATTCTACGTGGCAATTTGTAGTGCGATAGTCAGTTTGAACAGTAAAAGTGCCTTAGACAGGCTGGCCGCTGTTTTGATACGAAAACCTACCTTTGTCTAAAGCACCTTGTCATCTTTGGCCTGCTAGTTTTAAGATGATTAATGGTGACGTCATCTTCTAGTGGTGGCGCGTGTCTCTGTTGGCAATCACCATCTGGAAAGAGAGAAGCCATACAGCAGAGGTGTGCAGTCCTCACTTGATTTCAACTTGAAAATGTTCTTTGAGGATGGTGGGAAGAGGGAAAAAAGGAAAGGGGAAAAGAAAAAAAAGAAAAAAAAGAGAAGAACGAAGAAACACGCAAACTAGGAGGGGTGTGCAGCAAAGTGGTGTCCGCTAAAGACATGAAAAAAGGAAAGAACTTGAAATTTCGAAGCCTGCAGACGGGCACCACGTCCAGCCACCATAAAGGGTTGCCGACGATAGCGGCTTACGCCTGTTCCCGAAAAACTATGAGGGGTACTCATAACATGAAAGTGGCTACAAAATGGGGGAGGAAAGAAGCAGGCGACGTATATAAAATGCCAAGATATCGAAGGTAAGTGATGCTGGATGGGGTAGGAAGAGCACGTGTTTTATGAGGACGGTATCCTCGTAGGTTGCTCGCTCAGAGGAATTGCCTAAAGAATTTGGCGGCATGCTGGCTGAGAAAAATAAGTTGACAATGCAACGAAAATGAGCAACGACAAAAGAAACACAATAAGCAAAAAAAGAAGAAAAAGGAAAGGAAGCGGCGGACGGGGGGGGGGGGGGGTAGGTGGGACGTCAAGACTAACAAACGGTTAGAAAAAGGTGGGGGGGGGGGTAGAGTGACGCTGAGAACTAAATCGGTTGGCAATGACCTTAACGATGCCCGGCAGGAGTGGTTTTAGAAGCGGGAAAAGAGGAAAGAAAGCAGTGGTTGAAAAGTTCTACAAAATAAAAACTGCGTAGCTGTATATAGACACAAGCATATCTATATTTAAAAACTGAACAATTGCAAGAGAATAATTATAATACGATATGTCGGCAAGGAAAGATTTGGTGTATTACTGGCTATGCTTATTGGAAGGCTGAACGTATTTTGTATAAGTGAATATTACTGCAATTATGCTATGGCTTTCAGCGATTTTGAATTGTCACGTGCTACATTCATTCCTGATGGGTGTAGCGAGTTAAATTTGTGTATGAAATATGATTCCATGTATTTCGTTGGGACCGGAAGTACCACATCTCGGAATTGTGCTTGAAATATACCCTAATGTTCGTAAAAAGGGAGTGAGGTTGCATTGCTGGCTATGTACTTTTTACACGTTGTACATATACTGATGCGACAAAAGGATCACATCGTTCATTCTACTTGAACCTCATTGACTTCAGTTGATTTATGTACAACTGTCCAGAGCTACCAATCACGTGAACACAAGCGCTACGTATGAGCTTGCCGCTACTAATGTTGCTAATAACCATGTTGCTGTTGGCATGGTTACGAAGCATTTAGCAACTGGTTATACAAAACGTGTGCAACGATTCAACGTAGTTATTTCCGCACTAGCTTTGTAGAAATTTTAGCGTCATTTCGTAATGTTTTGGCCAATAAAACATTACAAAACACCCACCTTCTTACGCATTCGGCACAAAACATAGATTGCCAAACAACGTGGGATCGGCCAGTTTTTCTTTTTCTGGCCATGAGAAAAAATAATAGTGGACCGTTCTTGCGAATTTGCTTCGCCAGGCAAAGTGAAACGAAAACAAGGGCCTGAAAATCAAGCAGTCATTTATTACCGCTGGCAAATACGGCAAGCCACATTCAACGTCTTCAGGCGAAAATACTTAGAGGCTTTCGAAAATTTAGAGTAGAAAACACCTCGAAAACAGTTTGTTACACGGATGCTTTTGACATGCAACCAGTCCACTGGGTTTCAAAAAGAGAGGGGAGCCCCGCTCTTGCTTTATTAATAATGCGATTGGCTTGCTTCAACTAATAACCAGCAATGGTGTTGT